CAAAAACCCTAAGGATTTTGGAGTATTTCGCAGCTTTCTCCCTTGAGAAAGTACTTTTGCTTGAAAATAAGGTCATATTCGGAATCAGCGTGAAAAACTGCATTGAATGGTGTATAACTCATCTAGTTTCGGTCGCTTGATTTTGAATTCTAGAGATTTCTTAGTTTTTGAGACTCACACAAACAATTTCGTGCTGAAAATTTGAAATGCCCACTGTGTTAGGGGAGTGAAACAGCAAAGATCATCAGATAGTGTTTCGAATATCAAAAGCCATTATGACGGCGTTCAATCGTATATTCACAAAGCTGTTTTTTAGTATCTCGTATCAAAACGTAACTAAATGTTTTATATTCACCGTATTCTACAGGTGCAATACTACGTGATTTCCAGGTGTTCTATCTAATTCATAAGCTTAATACATCAAACGACCTTTAATCACTGCATTGAGTGCTGTAACAAAAATTGATGAATTTTTCAATCAAAGATGATTCGAAAAAACTTTCCGCAAATGTTTTGGAACAAAATTTATTGTGCATGAGTAATCATGTCTACGAACTCAAATACTTGCTGAAGTGAAAACTTGATTAACACTAGTCTATAGGGTTTTACCTGCAAATCTCGTTCCTTTTGGTATGCCTTAAGTAATTATAAATAAAATTTATTTAAAGATATATCCTTGCATATTTGTTGAAAAACTGTATATACAGGACGACTTTTGACAAATTTTCGATGTACTTCGGTGTTTTACAAAAATATTTTCAGAAATTCCATTGTTCAAAAGTGTAATTTAAAATCCATTTTTAGATTAATTTTCAAAAATTTAAAAGTTATTCAAGAATACAGTTCATTGATGTACAAAATCCGATGAAGTTATGTAAGAACTTTAAAAACTAATTAAAAGTATGTCTATTTTTAGCAAGTTTTGAGTAGAAATTCTCTTGCATTCTATAGTTCATATCTTTACCATAGACAACACTAGTTAATTCTAAAAGTTTATCTATATTATGTTGTTTTAAAAAAGAAAAACAGCTTAAAAAAAGCAAAATACAGTTAACAATAGAAGTTACATAAATAAATCACAAGTACAATATCATCAAAGCACCAGCTATACATACATACAGAAACTAAAAGTCTCAAATAGGCATATTATTAAAAATATTAATGGTAGAGATTTCGTGTTAAACGTGTACGCTGTAATTCTTGTGTTCGTCTTTCTCGTCGAGCGACTGTTGTTTCATTGAATCGAGAAGTAGTTTGTTGTTGTTGTTGTACTGTTCGATTAATCGGATTGTTTAAGAATTGCAAATTATCTAGAGAAGAATGAAAATATTTTGCTTCAATCTATGAGATAGGATCGATTTGTAATTTCATCGTACCGTTTATGAAATAGAAGATAAAAAGCTTTGGATAGAACACTGTATTAGAGGTGTATAAGAAAAGAAAATGCTGACTACAATTTCTATAATGAAGGAGATACTATAATTTTTCCATTTTCTATAATGAAGGATTTTGCTTAAATAAAACGTTGCCGAGATCTATTATCGATATTCTATTCCATTCTGAAGCTACCAAATATTACCAGACACAAGTTTTAATACTCCTGGGAAGTCCGAGGCATACCGAAAGGATAAGAAATGAGAGTTTGTTTGACTTCCATTTTGAAGAGGGCGCTTTAGGCTATCTACTCAATCTCATTATCTAAAGATCGCTCGTTTCTAAAAAATCTACTTTGTAAAATAAAAGTAGACGAAGAAAGCGATATTATTTTTATTATGAAAGGACTCCTACAGTCGTCCTCTTTCGGATGGTGAAAATCGCAGCTGCACTCTCTGTGCAAATCTTTTTAAAAAATCTCAGTATTCGCCAGCAGTTTCTATAAAAAGTGTAGCACAGTGGCACTCCAACCATATGTTCAAAAAGTTACAAGTACCTAGTGAATGTACGTGAGATCAAGTATTTAGCTACTTGGAAATTTTCTAAAATACTTGGTTAAGCACTTGTCAAGCAGTTTTAGATTTAATACGTGCCAAGTACTTGGAAGAACTTCGGATTAGAGATGTGTAACTCGATCCGTATCCAATGCGACCCGAAGGCTTGGTACAGGTACGAAGTTGCCGGATACGGGTTCCAGTTTTTTAATTTACCTGAAAACCGGAAGGTTCTAGTGGAAAGCCCACAAAATTTTAGTGAAAAAATACTAATAGTTTAGCTAAAATACATGAAGGTTTTAAAAGAATTACTTGAGAACGTAATGATAATTTGACATCTTCAGCCGAAACACAAAAGAAAATTTTTAGGCATAAGTCGGGTACGGATCGGGTACGGGTGGAAAAAAAAATTTCCGGCCGGGTACGGGTACGAAAATGATACCCGTGCACATCTCTACTTCGGATACTTGCATGTATTTCGCAAGTACTCACCAGGTTACCTGCCAACTACTTGATGAAGTACTTATACTTGTTAAATTACCTGATAAGTACCTTTTTTACTTGCAAAAAAAACTCCAGATACTCTGGAGTTTCATTACTTACCCAAGTACTTTTCTAAGTACTTGGTCTCAAGTACATTCACTAGGGTACCCGCTGCAAATCAGTCAGCAAGATTAAATCTGAATACGGTAGATTTAAAAAGGGAAAAAAGGAATTTTTGTTTCAACAAGTGATACGTATCTTTAAGTAGTGAGAGTTATGTACTGGAGATGCTCATGAAAAAAATTTTTAATTTTTTTCTGAAATAGCGAACTAAATGCTACTTCGTGTAGCGAGTTCAAAGGTAAAAAGGATTTCTATGTTGAATTTTAACTTTCATTCTATAATATTTATTAAACTTAAAAGTACCTGTATGAGTATCTGATAGACGTTGGTATGGTGATTCATGAATCGGTGTTGAACCTTGTTGAATAGGTGGAAGAATTAAACGATCAGATGGACGAGTACTAGCACTCCTAGAACAAAAATAATTTCAAAACCAACTGAAATTCTCTTAGAATAACGCCACCTGAACAAAAATATATAACTAATAAGTTGCATCGTAAAAGAAAAATACTGATATTAGTTTAAAAATATCCCCGTCCCACTCGCACACATTTCGAATCTTGTTGAAAAATGTGAGTGCCAATGTCTGATTGTCACTAGGAGTGCATCGGTCTTTTTTTCGTCTTTTTCAAAAATTCATAATAAATGGTTTATACTTTCGTAAAAACGAGTTGCAACATTCTTTTAAAAGGACAGTTTTGTAGAGAAAACATTTATCTACAAGATAGTATACAGAAGGTGTTTTAGAAGTTTTTGTTTCCTTTTAGAAAGGAAACAAAAATTAACTACTATATACCATCTTGTAGAGAAATGTTTTCTTTACAAAACTGTCCTTTTTGAAAGAATGTTGCAACTTGTTTTTACGAAAGTATAAATCAAGTATAAACCACCAAAAAAAACCGATGCACTCCTAATTGTCGCTAGCATTTTTATCTTAGAGGATCGTTATAGAAAAATCGATGTGTTTTTATCCCGAGTGTGTGACATGATCTTCTACGGGTTTTCTGAAGATCCTCTATTTCCATTCAGCCATATTAGGACTAATCGAAAAGATGATTCAATCGATCTCTTTTTTGAATTTTTACCATAGAATTTGAGATCTTATCGCAGATTCCAAACTTTTTCTCTAAAATATACTTTTCTTTTCGAACTGCTGAAAAATCTTTTAGAAATCTCAACATTTTTCATGTCGTTTTCAGCATTCTTCAATATTTCGGAAGGAAAAATATATTTTGGAGAAAAAGTTCAGAATGTACGATAGGATCTCAAATTCTATGGTACAAATTTCGGATCGACTGAACCACCTTTTCGATGAGTCGTAACATGGCTGAATGGAAGGACAGAAGGCCTTCAGAAAAAACCGTAGAAGATCATGTCGCACACTCGGGATAAAAACACATTGATTTTTCTATAACGATTCTCTGTCTTTGATAAAAATGCTAGACCGATCCGACATTGGCACTCACATTTTTCAACATATGTGAGGGTGCACAGTATATCCCTGAATGTCACGTTTTCTTGTATTAGTTTTCACGTAGCAAGAGTACCCATCATTGAGAGAAAATAATAAACATAACGATACACCACGTAAGCTTTTAACATCCATCATTTCGATCATTCGTCAACATGTGATTTTAAAAGAGCAAAGCAAAAGTGAATTTGTAGAAAAATATCAATTATTTCAGCTTGTCTAAGGATTCTTTTTATCTTTGTTCAATGTGACAAACAATAATAAATAATCTTCTTATTTTAGAATATTTACAATATCAACGCATACGCTATTGTAACTATCAAAGCAGTGTATAGAAAACAACAACTGAAATCACACAATTAGCAAATGAATCACGATTTTCATATATTTTGATAAACAACAAAGTGATAGACAATTTGATAATGAAAACAACAAGCAGTGGTAGAGTGCGTGTGTACATGAACTATGTCTGCTTTACCTCCAACTACTTAATGGATTCACGGACAAATTCGGTGGTGAAAGTGTGAGTCGTCTTAAATGCAATGTTCCACGACTTTCACTGTTGAATGTGCGTAAGGAAAAAATGGAATTTTAGGAAATTATGTGGTTAGAACTAGTGCTGATAACACTTACAGATGTCTAGCATGAAGATAATCTGTTGTTCGTTTACTACTCGATGATGGTTGTCGCTTGATAAGACCATCATTGGGAACAAATCGTGTTGTTTTTTGACCAAACAATATGTCTGATGTTGTACTTGAAGTTAAACAATCACGAACTAATGTTCGAGATGTTGAACTTAAATTTTCACTATGCAATAATTCCTTGAAGATAGCTTTCATTACTGATATCTACGATAAAACGATTGAGCATATTTTAGGTATGAATTGAGCTAAAATGCATACCTCTTGTTTTTGTTTTCTATATGTTTCATGTGCTATTTTAATTAGTTGTATACATTCTTCTGGGGTTGGTTCACGTGACACACTCGGTTCAATTGTTACTTGTAATGGATCTAGACTTGTTATCGATGATAAACTAACGGGTGAAAATGACTTATTATGCGTTGTTATCGTTACTTTCTGTATATCTTGAGTTATGCTGGAATTATCACTTAAAGAGTAGAGGAAAAATCGAAAAGAAGTAACAGGTAAAACAACGAACTTTAACTTACGTTTCTGGAAATAACGGTTGTGGTGGTGGTTGAGATATTACTGTACTTGTCGGCTGGGTTGCTACAGCTCGTTTTTTAAAATCATCAATCGTTTTCACTAAATATTCATTTTTTCGTTCCAATTCAATTAGTTTCTGTTTCAATTCTTCAACTTGTTTTTCATAATACAATCGTTGAACTTCTTGCAGACGTTTTTCTGAACAAAGAAATAATCATTCATATCAAGATTTTTTTAAGACTCAATATCTATGAGGATCTTTAAAAGCGAAAAATTGGCGTTGTTATAATGTTTTACTATATGATTTTGAGCTTCGAAAAGACTAAAATGTTATTAAAACTTTGTCCGTCTGTATACTTGCTAATAGTATGGTAGTCTCCGTGTGAATAGACAGCGATGAATAAAGACAGTAATATCTACGACGTTGAGAGATACCAAAGTTTTTATAATAAGCAATATTATTTAGTACAATCAGGCGCACATTGTCCACCGTTAATACCAACACTGATCATATAATTATGATACGTTATTGCCCATTTTTTTGAAGGATAATTTTGACCTCTCAATCGATTTTTCTCATATTCAGGCAAACATAGAGTGATCTTATTGTCGCAGACTCGTATACGCTGACTCTTGGATGATTCTCATCCGCAGTCATCAACACTTATGATAACAAAAATGATATATATACAAATAAAATCTGTCTGATCACCATCACCCTCACATTGACTGTTGTTAATCATCGCAGCAACATGCTTAAAATCCAGCTGTCGGATGCCAGTTTGCTATTATGAGTCTCAGTAAAGAAAAACTACTTCTGTAATAGGATTCCGCCAGTTCAAAGGTCAAATAACAATGTGTCAAAATCAACTTTCAAAAAATGGCTTATAATCACATGATATGATTAGAGTCGATATCCAATGTGAACAATTCAGTGAATCAAGTGTCAATTTTTCATGTCTTTAATGATCTTATATTATTCAAACAAAAAGCCAAGCAAATTTTTTTGGTTGCTAAACGAAGTTCCGGTGCATTTGTGTTCATTAGAGTGTAACTGTGTGTACGTAAGAAAATAATTGTGTTCGAATGGGTCGCTGAACTATATAGTATCTAGCGAATTAGCTCACGATAATATTTATTTACCTTCGAGTAAACGATTTCCTAGAACGGAAAATTAATCAGAAGCGATTGTAAGATGCGTACGGTTACTTGGAAAATGTAAACGAATATTCTAACTTTGTTATCGCTCACCTAAATTTGTTTCTGTCTTAGATAAATCAGATATTTGACTCGCAGTCGGTACTATTGTTGTTATTGTTGTTGTCGTCGGTTTTGTCCAATTGCGATCTACTGTTCCATTCGTCGTCGTTGTTGGTACTTGAGATACAATATCCGATCTACTATTTCTGGAAGATGGTCTAATATTAATCAAATGAAAATGTAAATCTAAATAATAAATACACAATTAATTTTTCCTTCTCATTTTTTAAGAGTAGAGGAAATTTTTATTGTTTGTATTAAAATTACAAAAATTTGATGATCTGTTCCAGTAAAATTGATATATTTGTATTAAACAAGTATAATATTTTGATTTTTTTGCTCGGATAAGAACAAGGTGATAAGATCTTCTCTAAGGAGTATAAACACTTCTTATTTTATGACTACTTCTTTCAATTACCTTCACTTTCGACTACCAGGAAGCATTTTGTAAAGTGTGGTTATCAGACTTCTCTCTACAGCAAGTTGAGTGTTTAATCACGTCTAAATGTGATAAGTTCCTCGATGATTTTGGAAATAAAGTTAATAAAATATAAGACGTTAACCTTCCTTAAAAGGAATAACACCATCTGTTCTTATACTTAGTAAATGGTTGCTTATTTTCAATGAAAAGGAATCTATAATGTCATTCGCTATCATTTTTGACAGATAATATCATTAATACTGTCTCATATGCGCACGATCATAAATACTCGATTGAGGGTGGGACTGAACACATAAGTGAAAATTCGTCCGATAGGTCTTTAAAAATTTTTGTTTTTTGATCATCAAAAGACATCAAAAATTTAATGTCATATACTACATCTGCAAATAATTCTTCATATTTTCCTTCTCTCTTTAGTAAATGAACTTACGGTATGCTCTGTACATACCTCTATTTTCTTGCTGTAATCTATCTACTTCATTATGTAAATCTTGCAAAGTGTGTTCATGTTGCTGTTGAATATATTTTATGTTTCGTTCTAAATGATCAATTCTTTGTCGAGGATCGACATTTGGACTAAATGGACTAAAATCAGATTGTTGTTCGTAATATTGACTAGAAGGCGAAGAATCTGATATCTCTTGCGATTGTTGTTGTTGATCATTGGAGTTATTATTATTTAAATGATTGTTTTTTCTTATATGTACATGTGGATTTTTGTCGCCAATTGTTGTTATACGATGTAAACGACGATTTGTAGGATCCGATAGGACTAAATCACTGCGCCGTTCATCAATTAATGATTGTCGCATCATCAAATGTTATAACAAGATGAAGAAAACAAAACGAACAACACATACATAGGCGAAATAAATTATTTGTCATGCCATCTAAAACAATTAGAAAGATAAAATAAACGATTTTGTTACTACTTGAAAATCAATTTTAAATATCATAAGACCAAAGTAAATTTTTGTTATTTTTGTTAATATAGTCTCATTTATCCATCTTATTTTGCACTTATTTTTTTTTCTTATTTTTAGTATGTTTATATTGAAAAAGTGAAACAGGAAAAAAAAATAAACACTGAAAAGGAAAAAATATTTGGGTCATTTTATTAATATCTTTAATATTTGAACAAAATACGTAAATAAAAATACTTGTGAATTGGTACCATAAAGAGAGTGGTTTCCGTCGATTTACCTCTATCAGGTTGCGTGTGCTGGGATAATTATACAATAATGCATACATAATGATGTCGCTACTAACGAGTGTATTGCAGAATTCACACATGAAATGGAATCTAACGAATTCATCTATCTTTTCACCTAATATAAGCTGTACAGCAGAGCTCGACGAGCCCGAGTTCGGACTGGAACATTTTTTTTCGGTGGACTTGGATCGTAGATTTTTTTCGAAAGGCTCGGACTCGAACTTGAATTTTTGTGTTTCAAGTCCGATCGATTCAAGTTCTTACACAAATCAACAGGAAGATTTTCAGTCCTTCAATATCAGTATGGAATATGCAATAGAAGTTTACTTATGTAACTTTTTCTGTTATGATAAGATTGATGTCTTGTACGGTGAAAAGAAATATATACATATCAATTCAGTCGGGAAATTTTAAAAGCTTGTTCCATCACAGCTGATTGCAGATTCGGGCTCTCTATAGTCGATTACCTTGTACGCAACAAGTTTTGAACCGGGGTACTCCAGAAAATTTTCTCAGTCCCTTCAGCAGCTCAACTGTATGAATTTGGTGGTCGACTGGTGAATCGAAAGAAATAAGATCATTCACAAATGAGTTATTTACAACAGATGTGGAAGTAACACCTGCTGTAGTAGAATTTCGTGATAATAGACCAACTATAGAATTAGAAATAGCATCATCTATTAACTTTTCAATTAGTGGAATTACATCACTATCAAGAAAATCAACCATATTTTTGACTAATAACTGTGCCGTCCATATCAGAGACTGGTGTTGGTAAATCATTCTCGTCAACAATATTATTTTGATCAACAAGTTTCCAAAATTCAGGATCCGATCGAGATGGCTGACCAAACATCACTTCATATGGGGCGTTTTTTTGTGGTGCACGAAACTCTTGTATTAGTTCCATCGACCGCAGATAAAAGACCTTCTGACCAGTGACTGAAGTTGTTTGTTGGCAACCATTTCCCAAGAGCATCACAAAGTACACCATTTGCTCGTTCGACACAATCTTGGCTTTGAGGATGGTGTCCTTGCATAAAGCGAAGATTCGGAAACAATTTTTTTAATTGAGTTATAACGTTAGCGACAAACTCCTTTCTATTATCACTCTGAAATAATCGTGGTGAACCAAAAACAAAAAATAATTCTCTTAATTTAACAGCAACATACACAGCCGATTTATTTTTCAATGGAAAAGCCCAGCAAAATTTACTAAAGTGATCGATATAACTTAAAATCCAATTATAAACAATATCTGGTGCAATCTTATCTGGTTTAATACGCATGTCCACTAAATCGATCTGTAACCGTGCCATGACACTTAAGGATATTATCAGTTTGGAGATTATATGTTGTTTGATTAGTTTTCTAACTTGACGAGAGGTACAATGTTTTAAAACAATTTCAATAGCTGTACGAGAAACCCACGAATAATAAGAATTCACTTCACAAAGGGTTTTTCACTAGCGTTAGGTTGAACGGTTGTTGTTATCGTATTTCACGCCATCGTGTTTTATGTAGAGCAAGCAACATGACTCTAATCGGTTAACACATTCTATTTATACTATTAGTAGGCAAAAACGGTCAAATATACCTAGATCCTTTTTCTCTCGAGTTATTCAGTTTATATTTGTACATGCGTCAAGTAGATGATCAGTTCTTTGTACGTCTGTTCTTCTACTATTTCTTTTTATTTCTATTTTTATTTTAGACAAAACATATGTGGTACATCGTCACATTCGACCGATATTTTCGCCTTTCCACAAATACTTATTTGAAATAAAGTGAAAAAAAGAGATTTAAAATAACACCTTTACGTGGCGAAAGGGATAAGTATCCTGTTTAGCAAAATGACTCATTACCCAACAGGAGAAGCTAACAGCGTGATTTTAGCATATATCATCAATTTCGTGACTTCGTTAGTCGTGGTCTCTGTTTTTCCCATTCTAATTCAAATTTTGCCTAAAGAAACTAGTCAAACTTGGAATTCTAACTTGGCCTAGGCAAATTCGGAATTTGCCTGGATTCCAAGTTTGCCTACAACATATATAACCGTCATTCTTTCTTTTTTTAAAAACATTATGTAGGACACACGTGTGTATATCTACACACACATCTATTCAGCTGTTTCTATACATCGCGTTCGAAAAAAACAACGCGGATAGCAACACGAAAAAATATAATAGAATATGTGAAGATAGAACAAACTTTTAAAAACTCACTCAGTTTCGCTTATTGTACAGTTAGGAATGTTAGAATTATGTTTTCATACTGAGATTTCACCTAAAGATCTTCAGAGATTTTCTGAAAAACCCGTCGAAGATCCGCTTTGTTTTGTATAGTTCTGGTAGTGAGATCGGATACAATACTTGCTCTTATGCTCACTCGTCAACTTTCATGCACTTTAGTTGAGAAATGATGCTAGAAGGTTTTTATTTTAGTACGATCATAGCAAAAAAACCAAATTTTCTGAAAAATTCATTTTTTGAAGTTTGTTTAATCGTGACAACAAAACAAACATTGCCACAAGATTTCCCGTGTTCGAAAACCTGTGTTTCATATGTTTTTAAGGGTTCCGGATCTCAGATTTAGCCGATAGGTAGGTTCCCGAGCAGGGTGCCCAAATCCAGTTTTTCGAAATCAGGAGTTTTTCGTAAAAAATCAGAAGTTGGTCAGGAGATTTTTTTTCGAAATCAGAACAAAAACAGGAGAGTATCAGGCAGTTTTTTCTTGGACAAGTGCGAAACAATCGAAAAAACATTTTTTTGAAATATTTTTCGATGAAACAGTATTATCATTTGTTACAGACTGCAGTACGGATTGAGGAAAGATTTTGATCCTATGGGCAGGGGCGCAACTAACGGGAGGGTGTGAAAGAATGCGCACCTCCCGAATAATTCAAAAAGTTGTTGTTATTTTATCCATTATTCCTCGCACAAAAACTTTTTTATCAATTTCACACTACCTCAAAGAGAAATTTTGTTTCACCTTCCCCTAATGTTCTGCTTCTATTTGCGGCCCTGCCTAGTATGGGTTTGGAAGTTCACTAATCGCATCTTCTTGTGATGAGAACATTCGATAAGCAGACAGCGAACTATTTCAATGTACAATTAGTGAGACTGTTGATCAAGAAATTCTGTTTCGGAAACTGATAATCTCAGTTTTGGAAAAAATAAAATCGATGCAGGAACACAATTGAAAACCAGGAGAAATCAGGAGAAAATCTTAAAAATCAGCTCCTGAAATCAGAAGAATTTTCACCAGGAGAAAAGTCTAAAAATCAGGAGATTTGGACACTCTGTTCCCGAAGGTATCCTGTAGCGCTTGAACCACGGTCGATGGAGACTTGGAGCTTACGGCAGGTTGTAGAGTGACATCTGTTGTATATCTACATGTGTTTAGAGCAGTACTTTGCTCTGTAGATTTTTGAAATGGCACGCTCGGACATTTTTTTTCCGAAGGAACGTCGTGGTAAACCTTTGCGGGAGACTGGGTTTTTTCATAGGATTATAGCCCCAAATGTCTTCTATCAAATGTTGAAATCTGCAGGTCAGTATCTCATTCCTATCAAAACTTATTCAAAAAACGGTAGTGTGCTTTCTATTTTGAAATGGATGGTAGTGCACTGTTGCTAGGGACAGTGTTTCTAATGATTAGTGGTCCCCGTGAGAGCAAAGTGGTCTTCCACTTTGTAAAAATGAAATCCACTCTGTTTTCCACTTTGAAAGTAAAAAAAACCACGTTGCGAACCACTTTGCTTTCTAA